CACTATTTTCCATCTTTCATTTGGCGTCATATCACGGAATCTTTGGCATTCGTCTATATAGTGTCGACCTTGACATACATAACATTGCTTCGATTTGAATCGATCTTCTCCATTCTTTCCATCATCATTTTCAGTCTTGGAGCCAAATGTGTTGACCCTGTGTTGTCGGACATTCTTGCGAATTTGGGCCCCAGAGCGCATTCGGGCAGTCATTTCTGCTTCCATCCAAGACAGAAGGTTGTCCATTGATGGTTCACACTTTTCGGAATTAAGATAGCGCGCCCACACCCTCAGGTCGTCTTCGCTCATTTTTCTTTCCATCAGGGAGATCACATGCGTATTATCCATATCCTGGGGGCGCTTAATTTCTTTCAAGATGTTGTACGACCGTCTCACTAAATTTACTAATTGGCAGAATCGATGATCTTCTCCAGGCTGAATACTTCTGAATCTTTCTAGATCTAGCGTAATCGTGTCTGATACAATTCTGGGGTCACCATAGTTTTGGTCTAGGTACTTCCAGGCAGCATTTAAATCAGAGCTTATTCCTTCGATTAATTTGGCAGGCTCAGAACTTAAACATGAACGTAGCACTGTCAATGTATCTCTTTCGGAATATTGTGCTTCGACAGCGTGTTTAAAATCCGACTTAAATATGAAATATTGTCGAACATCACCAGTAAACACAGGCAATTTGGCTTTTTCATGCTTAACAGTAAAGGGCTTGGCTGAACTCGGACTGTGTTGTATCATTTCAGGGTTTTGCATTGTGCTTGGGTGATTGTTCTCATTAGGAACAGTAGACTGTTCGATCAGATTGTTACTTCCTTGACTATCATTACTTTCCTCATTGTTCTCTTCACTCGATTCACCAACGACACTGTCACTGACATTCTGTTTACTTTTATCCTCATCTATTTTCTTAATATAATCATGATAACGCATAGTAAAGGCTACGTACTCACTTGCACAGACTTGCATCCATTTTTCAGCTTCTTCGAACTCTTCATCATCTAATAACATAGTAAATTCTTCATGTTTCATCACTAATCCTTCATGAGCCCTTCGTAACTCTTCAAAGGCTTGTTTTACTTCACTTTTCGAACGACTTGCTTCAATCAGTTCATTTGTAACATTCATTGCTCTCGTCAGAGAACCTTTTGCACCACGACGTGCATTCTTAGCTTTATTCTTAATCTCTTTATCCATTTTACTTCAAAGACAAAGTTCAGTACATAGCACCATCAGCAAACATATAAAATCTTCAGATAATGGACCGATGGCGCAGGCGACAGTAGACAAACAACAACAATGGTTTGGTTTTCTTATTATTAAATTATACAAACACGAAATTTGCATAAAATATGTATATATATATCTGAAGCTATAAGATAAAGAATAGAAAGAAAATTACGACTATGTTTACAAATATAAATACAATACATTACGTTACAATTACACTGTTTTTAACTTACATTTGTCCAAACCAGTGATAAACTTTAAAACCATAAATCCTAACTTGACTTTTCCTGGTTCAAAACATTAATTTTTAGCGTTTCTTTAGACTACTTTTATACGTACTTTTAACGTTCAACATGGCTTCCTTTTCGCGCGCTTTTTCTCAGTTCATCGCGGGCGACAATAAATATTCTACGTACGTCATGTTATTTTAGTCAAATCAACGTAACAATATATTTTAACTAAAATATGCTTAATAGTGCTAGCTTCCTGTGCGACTTGAGGTTGAATACAATTTATGACCATTCTCTACAATTTCCCAGTTTTACGTCTTATCTATAATTTTACTCAATTTTACTCGATTCTGATTGGTTATAGACCTTGCAATTTATTTTTCAATTGCACAGCTGTGCAATGAATTTTTAATTGCCCCGTTCCGCGCCAGCGGGAATACATGGTCACGATATAAGTAGTATACAAAGTGGGGGTTATGGACCGGGTGGAACACTAGGCTCGGAGCTGAGCTCTATTTGGCTCGGAGCCAGCTCCATTTTTGTGGCAATTTTTGCCCGCAAAGTCACGCGCCCGATTTAAGGTCTACGCCCGCGTGATAAATAATCCCCATCTATCCATAATAAACACTTGTAATAAACTAACGACTTCAGTTCATTAAGCTCAGTAAGTTTAGCTTATATGGCTGTAAATATGGCGTCAATTTTAAAGCAACATTGATAATTGTATTTCAATTGAGTTTTAACTATTATTTTATGTTTCTCAACCGGCAGATGCATTAATTTAAAAGGTTGCTAACTCTATAAACTAGAGAATAAAGCTAAAACAAAGTAATTTTGAGAGGAACGCCAACGATTTTAGGTTTTAAACACTTTTCATTGCAAATACGTGGCAGTGAAAAGAATATACGTTTAAGATATCCACAAAAGACAAAATTTCGATATCACAAAACCCACAACGTATACTAAATTCTTGTCCAAATTTGTACCTGTAAAACCACGCGCCTGATTCAGTTAATACCGCGTTATAAATAATCATTATCTATCCATAATAAACACTTAATTTAAGAAATTAAACTTTGGCTTGTAACATTAACGACTGTTAATGACTCTGACAGCACACACTTTTGATGTCAACAAAATTTCTTTATATCTCACACAGTTACTGTAATAATTGTATTTTTTCTTTCTCAAGCTCGCGGACGGGTTAATTATTCTGTAATATGCAAATATCGACCATAACAAAGGCGTTGGCAACCATATTAACTTTGGCTTAGCAACTGCTTAATTCTGTTTAAAATTTTTCATATATGTCTGGATTTTTATTATTCCCTGATTAATACTCCTAAATATGTTGAGTATATCTCCTGGGAAAAGCAATGATGGAATTAAAGTAGTGGACACTCTAAGACAATGTCAAACCCAACCTCGTTCCCAGGGTATTTCGCTCCAGCAGGGAAAGAGCGAATACCCTGGGAACGAGGTTGAATAAAACCTAGCAATACGATGAATTTCTATTATCGTTTATGCTTAAAAAAAACTGCTGGGTTGTTTTTGATTTTTATGCGATAACCCAACCAGCCTAAGAGAACCCTTGCCAAATTCCACCGGAATCCTTGCAAACTCCTATAAGGGACCGGTCATAAACATGGTTTCATGGTCAAAATATAGGTATAAATTACAACCATTACGTAGAAAAAACAATATTGGCACAATTGCAGAAAGGGTAGAAAAGCCATTTTCGAAATTAGTTTGTTTTAGATATAAATTAGAATATTAATATAGTTTTTCGTAGTCCGGTTATTATTAATTCCAACAGAGCCATTTTTTATACCAGTTTCAAAAGTTTTATATCTAAAATCTACGTTATAAATAAAATACTATGGTTCTGTAGCAACGAGAGCTTTGGCACAAGCTTTGTCGTTGAGAAAATTGCGGAAAAATCGAATGTTGGGATAGCTGAGTCAGCAATTTTACCGGATAAAACAAATCGTGGAATGTTAGTTTTCTAAATGCGCTTTTATTGTGCCAGTTTCGAGAGTTTCATGGTCAAAATATGCGTATAAATTACAACCATTACGTAGAAAAAACAATATTGGCACAATTGCAGAAAGGGGATAAAAGCCATTTTCGAAATTAGTTTGTTTTCGATATAAATTGGAATATTAATATAGTTTTTCGTAGTCCAATTAATATTAAATCCCGCAGAGCCATCTTTTGTGCCAATTTCAAAAGTTTTAAATCTAAAATCTACGTTAAAAATACTATAATTCTGTAAAAAATCAACCAAAGATTGGGATTGCTGCGCCGTGTGAAATCTTTCTTACCGCTGGATGCAAGACAGATTTTCTATACTTCGACAATACTACCGCTATTTGACTATGCCGATGTAATTTGGGGCGATAAAAACAATTCAGCGCTCATGAACTCCTTGCAAAGTTTGGAAAATAAAGCAGCTAAATTAATACTAGATCTCTCTCCTCTTTCGTCGGCAACCGAAGCTCTCGCTACATTACACTGGTCAACTCTCTCATCTCGCAGATATAAACATCGTTGTATCTTTATCTACAAATGCACTAACGGACTGATAGATTTCGACTTCAATCTCACAACTAACAGCAGAATCCATTCCCACAGTACAAGATCGTGTAACAACCTCCATCTCCCAAAAGTCAACACCAACTGGGGCAAACATAAACCAACCTACCTCGCTTCGAAAGACTTTAACAACTTGGACGTTTCCGTCAGAAACATTGATTCTTTGAGTCAATTTAAGTCTTTACTAAGGTCACATACCATACCATATAACTATTCTTAGCTGTACTTACTAGATATAGTTAATTATTCGTTTCTTTATGTCGTGACGTTGTATATTAATTGTATATATTTATATAAGTAAATTTTTGTTAATGATTGTATCATGCAGGACCCCACTGAAAAACACATTAGTGATGTGGGTATCCTGGATAAATATAATTATAAATAAATAAATAAATAAACAATGAGAACTTTGGCACAAGCTTTGTCGTTGAGAAAATTGCGGAAAAATCGAATGTTGGGATAGCTGAGTCAGCAATTTTACCGGATAAAACAAATCGTGGAATGTTAGTTTTCTAAATGCGCTTTTATTATGCCAGTTTCGAGAGTTTCATGGTCAAAATATACGTATAAAATACAACCATTACGTAGAAAAAACAATATTGGCACAATTGCAGAAAGGGTAGAAAAGCTATTTTCGAAATTAGTTTGTTTTCGATATAAATTAGAATATTAATTTAGTTTTTCGTAGTCCAATTAATATTAATTCTCGCAGAGCCATCTTACGTGCCAGTCTCGAAAGTTTTATAACTTAAATCTACGTTAACAATGCTATAGTTCTGTAGCAACGATAGCTTTGGCACAAGCTTTGTAGTTGAGAAAATTGCGGAAAAATCGAATGTTGGGATAGCTGAGTCAGCAATTTTACCGGATAAAACAAATCGTGGAATGTTAGTTTTCTAAATGCGCTTTTATTATGCCAGTTTCGAGAGTTTCATGGTCAAAATATACGTATAAAATACAACCATTACGTAGAAAAAACAATATTGGCACAATTGCAGAAAGGGTAGAAAAGCTATTTTCGAAATTAGTTTGTTTTCGATATAAATTAGAATATTAATTTAGTTTTTCGTAGTCCAATTAATATTAATTCTCGCAGAGCCATCTTACGTGCCAGTCTCGAAAGTTTTATAACTTAAATCTACGTTAACAATGCTATAGTTCTGTAGCAACGATAGCTTTGGCACAAGCTTTGTAGTTGAGAAAATTGCGGAAAAATCGAATGTTGGGATAGCTGAGTCAGCAATTTTACCGGATAAAACAAATCGTGGAATGTTAGTTTTCTAAATGCGCTTTTATTGTGCCAGTTTCGAGAGTTTCATGGTCAAAATATACGTATAAAATACAACCATTACGTAGAAAAAAAACAATATTGGCACAATTGCAGAAAAGGTGGAAAAGCCATTTTCCAAATTAGTTTGTTCTCGATATAAATTAGAATATTAATTAAGTTGTGTCTTTGCCACTTAAAATTAGTTGTTTCTCTGGCATATTTTATGCCAGTTTGTAAATTTATGCCAGTTCTAAAATCTTGAATACAAACTGCATAGTGGTTCGTATTCAAAATGAAATGTGAAGTGGGTGAACAATTGGAAAGGTTTGCGAATATGGAGATTTAAAGTGCGAATGAATGTGGTGAAAATCTCAAATTTGCATAATGCGGAAGGAAAAGTGCCCCTGTTCGAACTTTGCATTTTTTCATGAATATTTTGCTAAAGACGTTTGTTCCAGGGCTGATAGTTGGCAAGTACAAGAGGGGTGTACATTTTGTGTTTTTTTTTCAAATGTAAGTTTATATTGGTGCATTATTATAATAGAAATTTGTTGTGAATTTGTGACAAATGAAACCGAAGGTAATTTGAAATTTTAAAGTATTTAGAAAGAATAATATTACAATTTAATACATTGTCAATAATAGACGTTGTTCTCAACGCATTATTTTTACAGTAAATGTCTTAATTTGCTGCTAAATTAATTTTTTTAAATTTGAATATTGGGATGAATGTTGAGATGAATATGAGGATGACTCCTAGGATGAATCTTAGGATGAATGTCCGGATAGCTTCACAGAAGTATGAAAGTTGCATGCCATATATGGCATGCAACAAAAATATAGCGTTGCACATTCGGTCACAGTCGGAA